TAAAGAAAGCAAACTCCGTCCTCTCTTAGGGTGACGAGGGACAAAGCAAGGTCAACCAAACCAATCTACCCCAGCCACCCAAGCCAATATCCCCGACAAGGAACGGACTTTCCACCCCTTTGCGCACCCGAGGTTTGGAAAGCCGCCACCGATCTATAAAGATCTCAATATCGTATTCGTCTAGAATTAAAAAAAATTGCGTTTTCATTATGGTCTTTAGTTCCCCATCCGCCTAATTAGGGAACATGACTCGTCCTAACATGGGTTACCCTCCCTAAACGGGTTTAATGGAACATGCCTAGAGATGTGAACATGAAGAAAGAAGAGAGAGGGACTATCCGAACAAGAAAAATGGATACCAACCCAAACTTGCAAGAGAGCTGTCTGTGCTAGTCTTAGTTAGAATCCCCTGCGCATTCATCTTCCTCTCTTTGGTCAGCCTACTAGTTTTAGCAAGATCAACAGGAGAAGGGGGGTTTGAGTTGATTGGATCTCAGGAAGAATCGACATCTCGCATGATGAATGCGAAGAATGTGCAGCCGGTTTTTCTTTCTTTTTCTTTCACTGGCTCTCAGTACAACAATGTAATCAACTTAATTTTTTTTTTATAGACGTGGTTCTTAGAATAAATACATCAAATATAGATCAATTTTTTTATATATATAGAGATTATATAAATCCTTCAAATGAGCAGAAATGTAAATAAATGATGGACATATTAATCACACTTCCAATTGTAACCTTTTGAGTGCAATCAAATAATGTGTGAAATGTGTTAGATCAAGTAGTCACTCACGTCGATAGTTCAATAATTTTTTTCTCCTCACTTTTATTTTTGAGAAGAGTAAGATCAGGCTTTTTTGAGAAACATATTGTCCATTTCTACAACCCGTGAACCTCCTGTCAAATCTGAAGAAAAAGAAAAAAAAAATAGAGGAAGTACATATTCTCTATCTTAAATAGCTTCTCGTGTTTTCAAAATTTATCTTTAGTCACTCCTCACATAAAAGATTTACATATCTTTGCTTGCAGGTGCTCAACAGAAAGAAAATCGGGTGTCTATATACTCTTTCTTGATTACCCTAGCTATTTTCTCAAGACTAAATCTTGCAGTTTTAACTTACATCTTGTTTATTGAAGATAGATGGACTAAATTTCAATCTTCAATTCTATTAAAAATCGAACACAAATCATGAATTTCTTACTAAACTTCATGATATTCTTCTACAACGATATACAGGATATTTTCTTTTTTAAATCATATACAAAGTTTATCTTACAGACATGAAACTTCCATTAACAAACTTTCTAACTCGCCTATACTACAAAATCTACCTTAAACTCTATATCAGGGCTTCTACAACGTAAAAAATAGAGTTCTTCTAACAAAATTTTCTTTGTAGTATACCGAGACAAAATGGAGGTGCCTCATCGTTTCTTCGGAATCATTTCTCCTTCACTAAACCATAATACTCGTCTGGTTAGTCACACAACAGTTTCTCCTCTCATATTTGAATAGATGCATTCTTAATATCTCTCTTATACTTTTTAATGTATATGTATAGATGCTTCCCAGATCCTTTGTCAACGATTATAGACACCAACTTGGCGACACAGTACAAGTCACTACATATGATGGTATAATTGTCACAATACGATTGGAAAGAGATGATGGAAGAATATATTTTGCCGATGGATAGGAACAATTTTTTGACCATCATAACTTATAGGATACTCATGTTTTGGTATTTGAATATAACGGAAAATCTACATTCAATATGACCATATTTGACCATTCTGGATTAAAGGTCACATATGACTCCGATGTTCCGGAAGAATACAACGTTTCACATACAGATAACCCTGTATTTGAAATAGCACTAACATCTCATCACAATAACCATCGAGAAATTGTAGGTGTCATCTTTAATATCTCATTCTACATTCATCTCTTCCACATAAATTTGATTCCAAGATCAATAATTTATTCATCCATGGTTTTCTAATGTATATAACAGGACGGTTCTCTAAATACCACCTACCAAGAGGTGTGCGAAGTGTTCAAATCCATGATTCTTTACATCACAACTGGGAGCTTGCCACAAATTTATAACCAAACGGTCTAATAAGACGTATGACTATAGGCTGGGCAGATTTTTTTACAAAAAAAAAAAAAAAAAAAAAAAAAAAAAAAAAAAGAACTACAAATGGGCAATACATGTGTTTTCGAACTTTTGAACAGTGACATCTCATCACAACAGCCATCGAGAAATTGTAGGTGTCATCTTTAATATCTCATTCTACATTCATCTCTTCAACATAAATTTGATTATAAGATCAATAATTTATTCATCCATGATTTTCTAGTGTATATAACAGGACGGTTCTCTAGATACCACCTACCAAGAGGTGTGTGAAGTGTTCAAATCCATGATTCTTTACATCACAACTGGGAGCTCGCTACAAATTTATAACCAAGCGGTCTAATAAGACGTATGACTATAGGTTGGGCAGATTTTTTTACCAAAAAAAAAAAAAAAAAAAAAAAAAAAAAAAAAAAAAAAAAAAAAAAAAAAAGAAAAAAAAGAACTACAAATGAGCAATACATGTGTTTTCGAACTTTTGAATAGTGAACCCCCAATGTTCATCATCTACAAAAAAGACTGTGTTGGTGAAAGTTTGACACGTCTATGAGACATTTTTTATTTCTTTTATATGAATTTGTATACACCGAAAATGTTTTATTTTCATGTTAATCCATGTTAATCTATTCTACTATTTCTACACCCAATTCTATTTACTCTCTTATTTACCAACCTATTACATCCACATTTCAATTATTCCCAAATATCTAAAATTGAACAATATAACATCATTCCTTCCTTGGAACTCCTTAATTGAAATATAATGTTCATAAGAAATTTGCACACACATTACGCAAATAGATACATTGTTCCACCAAAACATTTGTTTTATATTCACTAATATAGAAATCACCATAGGTGTATATTTCATTATATTTTTTTATATTTTGATACAGATCCATTGCATACCCCCGCCCCCCAAAAAAAGGAAGAAAACATTAACAGCAAAAATTCAAAATGAAACAAATTCACACAAAACACAAGAAAAAAATTAATCAAGCTCCGTTAAATGAAATTGAGTTGCAGAATGTCCACAAATTTCAATAAAAATAAGAATAAGAACTAAAATTCAAAACAATCAGACCTCAATAAATCTATACAAAATATACAACAAACAATCCTAGTTCACTCCAGAGTTTGTGTATAACAAATCAACATCAACATCGAAGTGCAACACTATACAAGAAAAATGAAAAATCAAATCACATGAAAGTAGATTTCCTCCTTAGAAACCATCGCAGTAAAAACCTCTAGATAGTACTGCTACCACGAACTAAAGAGAAGCCCAACTCGTAATGAAAATATTCTCTACCACTATCTGCAAACTGCAATAAGGCCAGCAGAAATAACGTTATTTTATTTAGTAAGAGCAAAAAAATCATATATGTTAACGATCGAACAAACAGAGAGAACAAATACAATAAGCGCAATGATCGGAGCACAGAATATAGAACTCAAAAAAAAAAAATCACACATTCGAACCCTCATTTATCATATTATAAACTAACAATAAATAAATTTCACAGAGCCCAAACTTCGCTCAAACACAACGGTTGGAAAAGAGTTTTACAAAAATATCAAAAGAATTTTCGAACCTCAGGATGCCTTAGGATCACGAAAGAAAAGAACATTCAAATCCAAAATATAAAATCAATCAACCAAAGAACACAAACACAAAAGTCTACAACATATTGGAAGTCCCACAGAAGTCAACTTGAAAAAATAATACAAACTATAAGTGGGGAAAAAGAAGGAACTAACTTGTTAGAAAAAAGCAGCCCGAAAACACCGAAATCCTAGCATTGGATCCCAAGCAAACAGCTAAAAAATAAGTATAAAACAAATACATACATGGAGAAAAGAAATGAACCAATGAAACTCAGAATAAAGAATGAGTTAGGGCTAATTTGCGTGGTAAAATGGAGAGAACAGGCAGTAGCGTGTGAAAATGAAGAAGAAGAAAGAAAAATCCACCTAAATTGAGAACAAGTGGGTGTATCACTATAGCCTGCACTTTTTTTTTTTTTTTCGCAGAAGGCGTCGTTTTTGCTCTAGAAACGAAAAAAAAAAAATTGCTACAGTGTGTAAAAATGGAAGAATCTATTGTTCTTTCTACAGTATAGTAGTGATATAGAGGTATACTTCGAATTTTGCAACCTCGTTTGTGAATTTCGCAGTAATCCACTGATTTTTAGTAAATCTTACGAAGATTTCTTGAATTCACACCAATATTGAACTAATTCTGTTCAAGATATGTTATTATTTAATTTTGAGAAATTTAATTAGAAATATGATTGAATTATTCTCTTCATAATATGCGAATTTAAATTGAACAAACTACGGTGAATATCAAATTTCATTGTATTCTCTTAAACCAAAGTTGTTGAACTTCCTTAATTTCTTCGTTTAACTTTTACTTTAACAAAAAAGTAATAATAATAATAATAATAATAATAATAATAATAATAATAATAAATAAATAAATCCAATTTGAGTTTTTAAATTTTCTTATATGAAATGTAGTATTATTTTAAGTCAATACATAGGATACTTGATTCACCTATGATTTTTGCGAATGTTGTCGATCCAACGAAACAAACATGCCATAACGCGTAAAGGAGCAAATCACCTAATATAACGAGTAAAAAACGTCTCGAAAGAAGCTGCTAGAATGAAAGAAAATTCTAATTCTTTCTACTTCAACAATTAAATGCCCTTTACAAAACACAGAACAAGAAAAACAGACCATCCCCATAATTCTGCCCAGCAAAAGAACTCCATTTATCAATTCCCATTCATGTTCTCCATTGATTAAACTGAGTGGAATCTAGGCATGAAGCAAGAATGTTCAAACTAAGGTAATAAAATTCTTGCAAGAACTATAAACAATCAATAAATAGTATGATACTCTACATAATGGAGACACAAATTTGGCCTATTCATGGTTAAATGAAAGGAGTGATAAAAACTTGTTGATTAACACGATTTACAAGTAACTCAATTCCATTTCTATGAAAATAAGAAGGATTCCCACAAATTCATGCCCAGTTTTGACAGGAATAGTGGAATTTAATTTGCACAAAACAGATATATCTAACCAGGGCTACAATTTTGCCATGTCCGAGAATGTCATTTCCCGGGACAGCAGCCTCTGTTCATCATTCTCATTATAATCCACGCTTCCATCTCCTTCATAGTCTATACCAATTACACTTCTCTCCTTTCCATGCATTTGATCTGATCCCAATTCTTCAACTGATACAGAATGGTCAGTTTCTATGTGCAGCATTTCCGATTCAATTAAAGCATCCATTCTTGCACGATCCCTGTCCCTCGGATACGTACAATAGAGAAAGGAGTAGAAGAAACAGCATATAGCCATTGGAATACCTATTGCAGTGTAAAGTGCCTTTCCGAGTGATCCTGCATTGCTTCTATCCGTTTCAATCTTTTTCGAGTCTATTGATCCCTTTGGAATTGGTTTATAGCCATAAACATGTTGAGCTAAAATTCCAACAACGGGAGGGGCAAATGATGATAAAATGGACTCAAAAGACCTATCCAAAGCATAGATGCTTGTTCGAGCTCTCTCAGGAACTATTTCTGCAAATATAGGACTGTATACATATAAAAAGTAAAAAATTAATCAAATGATAAAAATATTTTACTTCTACATTGCTTTCTTGAATGCACAGTAAACTAAGATAAATCTGAAACCAATGAGACACAATTTTACAGAAATAAGAAACATTTCCATTATTTCCACAAAAATAGACTTTCGTGAGTTAATAAACAAATTGAGGATCAAATTAAACCATCCAAGAAAACTTGAGATTGGAAGCTCGTAATTTGGTTCCTGGATACACAGTGATCAGGCTTCTGCAGAATAAACTAATGACTAATAATTGTAACCCATCTTTATATATAAGCATAGCCGATCCTGATTCACTAGGAATGCGCTCTGTAATTTTTTTAAAAGATGAACATTGCACAGAACATTAGGAAGCGTTTGGTTTGCTGTTTTCAAGCATTTTCAGTTTTGCAAAACTATAAAAATGTGTGTCGTCTCATATTTCTGAAAATACATTTTCGAAAACAATAGTAAATTTATAATAGAAAACTCAAGCCGTATTTTTTACATTTTGAATGTTTTCGGTGAAATTCTGAAAATACTCAAAATATGAAAAACAAGCATTTAAATAAAATTTTAAATTTTTATTCTTTAAAATTCTAATAAATAAAATTAAAATTTTTTGATAACTCTAAAAAATAAAATTTGAAAAAATAAATCTAAATTTCTAAAAAATTAAAATCAACATTCTGAAAACTAAAATTAGAAAAATAGAGAAAAAAAATTATATATAAAAAAAAGAAATGGTTTAGCTCTTAATGATTATTTACATAGAAATTTTGAAAAAATATTTAAATGAACAAAGATAAAAATATTTTAAATCCATGTCATTAATTTTTTTCCAAATATTTTGAAATTAATTTATTTAATTTTTTAACAAGAAAAGATAGTATAAGATTCATCAACTTTAAAATGTATATAATACTCACAGGATAAACAAATTTAATGGAATAAAATGCCATAAAATAACTTTTCAAAATTTCAAACCAAATGTGCGTTTAAATTTTCTGTTTCGAGAAATAATTTTTCAAAATGACTCACCAAATGCATTTCTAGAAATCTTAAAACAAAAGCTCAGAACAGAAAATAGAAAACGAACTCAAAACTCAAAATTGAAAACCAAAACACAAACCAAATAGGCACTTAGTGGATTCACCACAATGTTTAGTTTTCCTTTATTATTATCTCCACTGTTCTTGCTGTATTTATGGCTCATGTTATAGTTGAACTGATCCCAAGACCAGATCAGGAAAGATGGTCATTTTACGTCTTTACATCCAGATCAAGCGATTTTCATGGTGAACACAAACGTCTTAAAGTTAGGACGTCTACACAATGATATAACATGATGATGTGGTATACTAGTAACAATTATTAAAACTTTAGAAGAAGTAGGAAAGGAAAAGAGAAAAGAGAGAAGGGAAGAAGACAGTAGAAAAGAGATAGAGAGGAAAGAGGGGAGAGGGGAAGAGATAGAGCCAAAAGATGACAGCATAAAATATAGTCCCTGTTTGAGTCACATTATTTTCAAAAAAAAAATACATTCTTCAAACGGTGATTTGACATCATTTCAACCATACATTCTTCAATAAAATAATATTACACACAAATCTAAAAATTTTTCTTATTTTTAACCACACATTTCTCATTGATTTGACATCAATAATACATTTTTTTCCCTATAATGTGGCTCAAACAAGCCCATAGTCTATTAAGCATGTCGCACTCATCAAAAGAATCAACCATACATCGAATACTGTGTCAGTATTACTTCAATAGAAGACATGACAAAAAAGTATTAAACATAAATGAATATCATAGTTCACAAGATCCTGGGAGAACTATAAGATCAGAATGATCCGGATCGACATGATTCAGAAATTAAGCCACTAAAGAACATTTTCACCCTAATATTATGAATTGTTCTGTTAATTATCATGAAGTGTAATATTGTCAATGTTTCTAGAAAAGCTCAAAACGCAATAATGTTCCATCAGCTTTGAACTTATAACCATAATCCATGCAGTAAAGTTTTTTAAAAGAAACGAGAGAGAAGCAGATTTTGGAGGGAGAAACAAAAATACTTACTTGTTAGTAGCTGGAGCATTCCAAGAGATGAACAGTCCCATGATAAAGAAAACCAAGCCATGCATTACTCCCATTTTAGGATCATCAGGCAATCCCAGCATCAAAATCGCTGCTAAAGGAATTGCAGAGCCAGAGCTTATCTGCGAAAGAATAATTCTCCCTGAATCTGGCAAGCGTTTGGCAAGGATATCCCCCATCTTTCCTCCAAACAATCCTCCGAGTGAGCCCGCAACATTAAACAGAGTCCAGATGATTCCTGTTGTCTTGTGAGAGAATCCCATAAGCTCCAACCACATTGGGGCAAATGACAGAGCCGACCAAGGGAATGATCCCGAGACACCTTGAGCAACTAGTATTTGAAAAGATGGTACTTTTATAACGGCTTTTGCTTCTTTTATCAGGTCCTTCACTTCCGAACGGAAAGGTTTTTGTGGACCTTGATCTTTTGCATTACCATCACTGTCGAAAAAGCGGGGGTCGTTGGCAAAAAGGCCAACTAGTATACCAATAACAACACTCAATAGTCCAACTAAGTGGAAGGCTATTCTCCAACCAGGAATGCCCATGAATGACTTAGATGCTACAAGAATTGAAGAAAGTCCACCAATAATGGAACCAAAGTTTCCAGTCAATTGTAGCCACCCAAAAGCCGTGCCTCGATTACTGCCATCAGTTGAGTCGGCAACAAGAGACTGAATTGCTGGTGTAACTATTGCGAGTCCAATTCCATTTAAGCCTCTCGAAATTGCAACCTGTTCAAAAGATGAAGTAAAATGAACAACAATGCAACTTAATATGTGGAGGAGTAAAGTACATTACATCACCAACATAAGTGACGACTATTTACAGCACCTGATCTTCGTTTTCTGGTCCCCCCCCCCCCATTCACTGAATATTGAAAAATGAAAAGAACTAAGCAACAGACAAAACAACTGTTTCACAACTTAACATATTGAAAATCCTTAAGAAATAACAATAATCTAGAAGTCCGTGAGAGTTAGTTATAAAGGAACAGCATCAAGAAGGGCCACTATACACGTGTAGGAGTATATTATGCTACAAAGGAAAGGCTGTAATTGAAAGTTTGATAAGGGCAATAGAGGGCTTGTTCAAAAAAAAAGGTTGAACCCCCACCTTCAGGGCCTCCATCGCCCCAAAGAGAGGGCTTGTTCTGTCAAGGCTTGTGTACGCAAAGTAGAAATAGTACTACCATACAAAGCCCCTATTTGGCCCCCATTTCTTAAAATTCATTTTACCTTAAACTCATATTCAACAACACATTTTATCAAACCTACGATTTTTATCAACTGTTCAACCAAACATTTCATTAACTTCTATCAAAATCTACCAAAATTCTAATTTTTAACCAAACCAAATAGGGGCAAAATGTTAAACATAAATTTAAATTTCTGAGGAACCAAAAAGCTGCAAAACAAAAAACAAAACCAAGTAAAAGCTAGAAGAAAAATGAAAAGTATAAATCAGACCTTTTAACTTATCATATTTTATTGAAACATAATACGTCACTCTACACATCATGACACCCGCACTTCAGACTTATTTTTTGAAAGCTCATTTCAAGTGAAGTCATTCCCCTAACAATATATCGATTTCCATTTAGATTTTTTATCTCTATATTTATTTTAGGGGTGGACAAAATGACCAAACCAAATCAGACCAAACTAGAATCAAACCAAATCGAGCGGTTCGATTTGGTTCTAAAAAAAAAAAAACTAATGGTTCTGGTTCTTAAAACTAAGAACCATTTGATTCTAGTTTTGGTGCGATTTTAGTTCTAAAACCAAGAACCAAACTCAATATTTAAATTTTTTTTATTTTTATCTTTTTGTGTGTATATATATATAGACCAATTACCACTGTCTACCATCACGCTTAGCCACCATTGTCGCATGGATTTCTAATATTGAAGCCTCAGCATTCAATTCTTCTTCCTCAAATGTTCTTTTTCATTTTTTCTCAATCGGTTTTGAAACTAGAATAGAACCAAACCAAACCAAACTGAACCAAATGATTCGATTTCAGTTTGGTTTCATCTCTTAAAAAATAAAAAAATAAAAAAAAAAAAAAGCATTTGATTCTATTATCAAAAAACTATTGGTTCATGATTCGGTTCGATTCTTTTGGAGCCATAACCAAATGAAACCATATCCACCCCTAATTTATTTCCTACTATTCAGATGAACAAACATACACAATTGCACCCAAAAAATTTGAGAACTCACATGGTACAAAGAATATATTTAAACATAACTGCACAATGCATGGTGTATTTTAGATACAACGGATTGAAAAAAAATTCATAAACTAGTTCACTAAAGTATATCATTTCCACAATCTTGTAGTAGCTCAAGACTCTGCATTCGTCTAAATTTTCTCAAATGCTCCGTAGACAAGACAAATTTCATAGAACTATAACTCAAGTACAAATATATATATATATATATATAGAGTCAAGACCAAGAATTCAGGGGAAAGGGAAGAAAAAGAGCTCATTTCTTAGAATCAATCCAATGATAATAATAACTAAATCTACAAATCAAGTAATCCAAAAACATTCTTTAATCAAACTCTCCAAAACTATCATCCTGCAGTATCACACTTTATATCGATATATTGATATTTTTATTCAAATTCACTTTATTTAAGGATTCTATTTATATACTTCTACTTCAAATGAAAATTAATCCTATGTAAACTGCCTAATCTAAGACCTCAAAAAATATGCTGATGATTCCAAAATAGAGTATTTAAATTTTTACACCCTTGTTCTTAACTAATATTTTAATGAAATTTAAAGGATTATAAATTCTAATGAATTCTTTGGATTTGAATAGATGCTTACAAATTCCATAAGAATCTCATCAAATATGGTAAAATCTCAAGAGATTTGCTTATATGTATTTTTAAGCTTGAAATACATCCAAATCTTTTAAAATCCTTCTATTAATGAAATCTTTATAAATTCATTAAATTGATTATTGAGGATATCTAAATTTTAAAGGATTTCATTAAAATTTCAATTGGGGACAATTTCATTAAAATCCAATAAAATCTTCACCTAAATTTAGAATTCATCGCAATCTCAACTGAGAACTACCCCTTAATTGGTGATTTTATCCAAAATTTCGTGAAAAGAGTTCCATTACATGTACACCTGCATATAATAAGTTAAAGAGGACATAAGCCTTCAAAAAAAGGAACGAATCAAATCAGAATAAAAATCAAGAAAACAAAAATAAAATAAAATTCTCAATTTTGGATAGACGCATGATACAAGTTCAATCAAAAGAAGGGAAATTGTTACCTACCTCGACGAAGGTGGAGGAAATGGCCACCAGGAAGGTGGCCGCTGCCCAGAGGAAGGCACCGAGGGCGATTACGTGGGTCCGATTGTGGCGGACGGAGAGGTACGCCGCCAGTGGGTAGCAAGATGACTGAACTATGGATCTAAACAGAGTCAAGGATCCGAGCCCAGTCGGGTCGGTGTGCAAAGCCGCCCCGACTTCGTTATACACCCCGGGGAGCAAAGATTCGTCTGCCCTTTCCATTATTCCGGCAAGATTTACAAGAATTAATGTCAGTCTCTCTGATCTCATCTCCCCCAGCAATTTCATCGTCGCTGGTCGAGATGCAGTGAAGTCGTTGGTTCGACAGAGGGGTTGGGTGGACCGTGGAGTGAGGTAGCAGGTTGACTAGGAATAAAGGAGAAAATATAAGGGATTTTTGGCCAATCAGAATCGTTGCAAATATTTTGGAAATGTACGAAATGAACACGGATTTTAGGATATTAATGTGACATGATTCGACATCAATCGATTAAAGACATATAGGTTGTTGAGTCAGTCGTTAAACCAATGAAATAAATTGGCTTTCATTAATGTTTAAAAATTATTTTAAAATGTTCAAATTATGATTTTTTAAGACAAAATTAAAATTTTAAAATTATTTATCACTATTAAATTTATATCTATTTTTTGATGTTTTAAACTATTTATTCATATATGCATAACAATTCTATAAATATTTATTTAATATTAAAGAATTAAGTAAAATGTTTACTTATAATTTTTCAAAAATATTTTTGGATAATAGTTGAATATATATGTAAATACACACATACTTAGTGGTAACATTGCTAGGCCGACCAGTTTACCAAAATTTGACTACTTAAATTCTTTTCAATTGATGAATACTATTTTAAGCAACTTGTTACTTGGCGCAATCAAGAACCCAAGTCGCAAGTTCTCGATTGGATCATATTAAGATGTTGTTTGAGCCACATTTTTATCAAAAAATGCATTTTGAAATAGGTTTATGATGAAGAACATGTGGTTAAAAAATAAAAATAAAAAGTTATGAATTTGCGTGTAATATTATTTTATTGAAAAGTGTGTGATTAAAATAATGTCAAATTACTGTTTAATAATGTAGAGAAAATTACACCTCATGTCATTTTTTTAGTTGTCATTTACAAAAATATCACCGTTTAAAAATCTTTACAAAAAGTTTCATATTTATTAATTTTTACCCTTCAAAAGAATTTGAATACCTTGCATGTCCTTTTTTATAATTGTGTAAGTGTCATATCAAATCTGGGGAAAAAAAAGCCGTCAATTGTAAAAAGGAAAGAAAGAGAGAACAAATCTGTGAAAAGGAAATCCCTAAAACTCAAACTCACTCCTCTCTCTTACTAAATCGACCGCCAGCTACTTCATCCTCATCACCGAAATCTGTCACCGACAACCACCTGCTTTCGGCCACCTGGAAATGAAAAACAATATGCTGTCAATGATAAAGGAAAGGAAGAGAAAACGAAATCCCTAAATCCCTAAAAATCACTCCTCTCTGTGACTAAATCGACCACCGCCGGCGAACTCCTTTCCCTCACCAAAAACGGAATCCCTAAAACTCTAAAACACACTCCTTTCTCTCACTACATCGACCGCCGGCTAACTCCTCTCCCTCCCGAAAATCTCTCCTGCTTCCGGCCATCGACGATATTGGAAGCGTTGGAGGAATCGCCCACCGCCTTTTGGATCTCATCTTCTCTGTAATTGCAAATCAACACTGAGCAAAAGGTATTCCATTTTTTGAGTTTATCTTTGGAATTAATTTTGTAAGGAATGCAGCGCTTATTTATTCTTCTTGAATCATTGGGTTTTTTTATTTATGTTTTTGAAGGTGTGTTATATTAATGTAAACGTCAAATTTTGTTGTCTGTTAATATGAATTAGGTTTTTTATTTTATTTTCTTTGGTCTCAGATTCCAGTTTTGACTCGTGTGTGTTGGTTGTTTAGTAGTAGTATTTGATACTCGTTTTGTGTGACTGAGAAATATTTTTCGTGGTAATTATTTACATGATATAAGGTATCTCGCATTGGGTTGTTGGTTGATGTAATGAAAATATTTTGTTGTGGACAGTGGGTGGTTGGCAATGGCAGTGGATGAGAAATGTGGAAACTGAGGTCCTGCCCGATTAATTTCGAGTTTGATACAAAGTTTTTTCGGTTGTAAAATGTTGTTAGTTAGGACAATGTTTGTTGTCGAACAGGAAAAGAATTAAAATGTTAAGCATAAAATTTTACATTGACACTAACAAGAATGGACATGGACAGGCAGACATATGTTTTCTCAAATTGTTTACTTTTATAGAGTACATGTTTAGTTCCCTTATTTTATTTTCCACCCATCATTTTGTGCTTAAGTCGTTATACTCTTCAATGGGGTTCACAGATTAGTTTTTTTAAGAAGTTTGTAAATGGTTATTAGATGAAGTATACTTATGATGTGAACCCTTTTGCAAGATGTACCTGAGAACCCATATGCTACATTTGCAACACGACAATGTAATGAGACATCCTATGGAAAGGGACTTAGAGGGTGTTTGTTTTCACTTGTAATTGTTTTATGACTGTTAGAGAGTTCGACGGGCGGCGAACCCTGTGAAAGGAAACATGTGCGGGTCCAAGATCCAATAATTGATTAAAATGTCCTCTGAACGGCCACTTGTTGTTCTCTTATCCCCAATAGTAGAGCAACACATGAAAAATCAATCTGTCTCAAACTGAAAACTGAATACATATTCCATAAGCCCTCACATTTCACGATAAGCAGTCACATCATTTGGTGTTTTCGATGTAATTATAAAATGACAACTATTCTTGTTTGCTTGACTTCTACTTGAACGGTCCATTTTTATTTGGCTGCTTCGATATGTTTACATTTGTACCTGTTTGCTTGGCGATACTAATGACATTGTAGCATTAACATCTACATTTTCACCTTCATTGTGATTTTTAGGATGACTGGATTTTGGCAAGTTCTACATTTTGGTATAGGGCACCATGCATATGTAACACATATTTCTGTTCATATTGTAGCATTAACATCTAAGTTTTCAAGTGTTTTGTGATTTTTGGGATGACTGGATTTTCGCTGTTATGTATCAAGTTTGTGTGTTGGGGCACCATGCATAAGTATAAGATGTTTCTGTTGAAAACTATCGTTCCCAACATTTGGTTGCAGTATTTCTTGACAGTTGGGTGAATCCCGACAGATGAACTGTCATTCCCGACAGTTAGCTGTATACATTCTCGACAGATGACAGATGGCATTGTCCTGCTAAACGAGTACAGTCATCTGTCAACACAGGCTTCGGTGACAGTGTCTCGACACATAACTGTGGGCACTCACGACATTGCACGTGCGTTTAGAAATAACATGTCTGTCGAACATTCATATCTCATTACCGCACGTATTTTCGCACATTCAAAATATTTTTAGTAACATTTTTTTTGAGTTCAACATTGCATGCACAATTCGCCATAACATGTGTGTCGCAGTTTAGGTAGATGATCTGTTTTTATATGTTTCTCGTATTACTTGTTCCGATTGATGTGGTTGTATGCTCTTTGAAAGTACGCTTGTTCTTTGAAATATTCATTTGCTGTTGATTTATGGTCTGACCATTATCGTTTCATTTGCAGAATACATGAAATTTCAATTTTGGGTGCCCGAGAATGCATGGTTGCCCGCGCGCATCTCGCAACGGAGCAACTTGAAGTACATTAAAACGGTGATCGAGCACTTGGACGATCGACTGCGAGCTGACTTTCGCAACTCCTGCCTTGGGTTTCTTGATGACGTTCCAGAGATCCAGTTTTCCACTCAACTAATCTAGGCACTTGTGCGCAGAGGCATCCATTGTGATAAGGCTCACGAGTTGTGGTTCAATGTATAGGGCCACCTTACCCGATTTGGACTGCAGGAGTATGCTATCGTCACTGGACTGCATGCTGGCTCGACTTCGGAGGGCGATCGGTACACAAAAGCATTGGAGAAGAGGAGGCTGAACGAAAAGTATTTCAAATCGCTGGAGAAGATTTCATGTGCCCAATTGGATAAAACCTTTGTCCGCGCATCGACACCCCAGGCAGATAGATACAAGCTCTGGCTTGCTCTGATTGTGGAAGGAGTTATCATTGCTCCAGACAATAATGTTGGCAATGATGAAGAAATGCTTTCCCTCGTCGACGACTTGGAGCTGTTTTTTTCCTACCCCTGGGCCAAAATGGGGTATAGGCATTTGTTGAAGGGATTCTAGGGTACTTGGGCATGTAAAATGAGCGATGCAAAGATGAAGAACAAGAAGGACGTCAGTTACACAATTCACAGATTTTCGATTGCCATGCAAGTAAGAACAGCATTAAGTTTATGTTTTTTGTTTGTAAATATTCGAACAATTTTCCACATTTTTTGGATGGATACCTATGTGACAATTTTTTTTCTTTTCGTTTGGACAGATTTGGGCATATGAGGCCGTACCCAAACTCGACGAACACTTCGATCAGCTGGTAGGTGAACGATCGCCTCGGCTTTTGTGCTGGACCTCTATCAAACAACCGCAGCAGCCTACGTACGATGTGTTCTTCAGGGACGTACAGGTCATGGATATTTTTAATTTGCCTTTCACATATTTTATTTTTTTGAGAATACTATGCAATATATTTTAACTACCCGTTCCCCCCTGTTTTTACAGTTACACATGCACGCCACACTGTGTCCCACGGAGGCTGAGCGTGATCTCCCATACATCGC